GCATCTGCAAACAACGTTTGCCCTCCAAACTGAAATAATCTACGCGATACCTTTCAACCCTCTCCTTATTCTAACTCCCCATAAAAATGCTTTGTGGTGCAAAGAATTTTGTACAAGATGAAAGTTGGAATATTCCTATATTGATTCTGGCCCACAGCAAGAGGGAAAATAAGGATGAAATTAGAAATTATATCTTCAGATTACCATTAAAAAAAGAAAGGAAGAATGGTTTAATAAAAGGGAGCAGGTATAATTCATACACATGAAACAGTTTAGAGGAAACTTCGTATCATTACACTGAAACAGTCTGGATTAAGATGTGGAATAGTTATATAGAAGTACCTATCATAAAGCAAACCTGTTCAAAATAATACTAATACTAATGCTAATGCTAATAATAATAATAACAATAATTGTTCAGATTAATTTAATGTAAAAGTAATGTAATAAATTAAACATGCTTTGAAATTACTTTTTTTAATTGACAAAGATCTATCTGTAGATATATATCAATATATAAAGGAACATTCTTATCCTGCCCTATGTCAGCAATTTCCAAAAGCGCTTTATATCTCATTTGATCTTTGAAAAATGCAGTTCCTGAAATAAGCACAAGAGATTGCAGTTACTCATTTCATCACTGTAGATTTCAGGCTCAGTAGGCCAAGTTGCAGAAGAATTAAGGAGTTTTAAAAGCAGATTCAAAACCTAAAATACTGAAGAATAATTACCAAATAATTAGAAAATTGAAGAAAATTGTGTTTCAAAGTTTGTATGAAAAATAATAGAAATATCATTTTATATGTCATATAGCCACTCCAGACATAAAAGTACAGACCACAATGTATATCATACACTCAGGACGTACAGCACTTTTTTTCTGATTGAGCACAATTACAATCATCTACTGTTTCAAGTTTAGACAACTTTTGAAGCACATTAGCCAAGAAAAGATCTGCAGTACAGAGAGACAGCAGATCAAAGTTAAGTATGACGAGCCATACAGTTTTGGAAGGATTTCAAGGTGTTTTCTAGATAAGCCGGAAATGTCATTACAACTGTTTGAGCCTACACCAAATTCTTTCTTCTTACTACACAATTTGTAACATAGGCAGATTTTAATTCTCTGGATAATCTGTGAAGCTCTTCATTTCCTGTTATTACACATTTCTCATTTTGTCACACTGTCAGAGGTCCTATGTATTTATTTTCATAAATAAAAGATTATCCTTTGTGAAGTGACCAGTCTTTTATAAATTTGGGAGCATTCTGTAAATTGATCTTAGTTAAAGACAGTGATAGATCAGCAATTACAGGTAATATTTAATAGTAATAAAATGGACAGAATATCAATTGAAGGGTGATCCTCACTTCTTCAATTTATAGTTCATGAAAAAAATATGGAATATTATACCTTTTTTCTCTTTTATTTTCCTTCAGTATATCATTCCTATATCTCATCTTTGTCACTAAATACTTAGCAAGTTCATTCTAAGTGATGATGCAATGTTCTCTGCATGTGTTTTCAGAGTTTATATCAGTGATATAAAATATTTTCAAGGGTTCCTTAACTTGGCCTCCTACAAAAATATACAGTCCTGGAATATAATGAGAAATCTCAGATACAGTTTAATACCAGTATTATTTGCACACATAAATGATGCATGCAGAACCAGACACTTGAGAAATCAAGATTTCCACCTTTAAATCTCTATTTCTGCATTATGCAGCACACTGCAAAAGAAGGAAACTTTTCAAGTAAAAATCATGCATTAAATCATAGCATTGTGTATCCTAGATATACCTAATAATTGCAGATCTCTATACTTAAAGAGCATTAAATAGCACATAATTGTTTGTGTGATCACTTATACTTTTTTGTAGGCAGAAAGGAAACTTAGTTATTACACTCAGATTATTAAATCAATCAAAAAGTTTAAAAAGAAGAAGTTATTACAAAGGAAAAAAAAAAGAGAGAGAGAAGGGGTAGGAAGCACTTAATAATCCAGTATTTTTATTTCTTCTGCTTAGAGCTAGATACTAACAGGAAATTCACACTTCACAAACTTCTCAGATGAAGAACCATCTTTTGAAATTCCTGTCATAGCAAGAGAGACTGAGAGAGCTGGGACTGTTCAACCTGGAAAATACATAGGGGTATCTTAATAATGTGTAAGAAAACCTGTAAGTACAGAGATGGAACCAGAATTCTCAAATGTGGTCCAGCAAACACAAATTGAAATACAGGTAATTCCACTGGAAAGTAAAAAAAAAAAAACCCCAATATTATTTTGAAAATAGTGAAACATTGGAACAAGCTGCAAAGAGATGTCATGGTGTCTCTATCCTCAAAGATACTCAGAGAATCTCAAGTGTATCCAGACCTGAACAACTTGCTCTGAGTGATCTCACTTTGACCAGCAGAGGCTGGACTAGGTGACCTCCAGTGGTGCCTGACAACCTCAACTAGCCAGTGGTTTTCTTTATATACAGTCAAAATATAGAGTAGAAGTTTACAACTGGCAAGATTTTTCTTGTATCAACTAATGCAGAAGCATGTAACTATGGCATCGACATCATCTACTGCAGTTGTCACAGTCTTTTCTTTGCAGGGCTCTTACAGTAGTTTTGGTACTTATTTACAATGTAGACCCACAAATTTTCATTGTTTTGAACTCATAAGATCAGATTGTAAGTCTATTTTTATACTTGCCTGTCTATAAAATGCTGGAATGACTGTCATGTAGCACTGCTGTCATGATGCTCTTTATCTCTGCTGAACCTTTGCATATCTCATGGAACACTAGACCCCAGAGCTCACTTCTATCAGAGCTATTGTTTGCATTTTTTGTGCTGAGACTCAACGCCACCACAATGGGAAAAAAATCATACCACTCCTTCTGTTGTGGTAAGCCATGTAATGTGAAACCAGTTCAAATGTAATACCGATTTCATTTAAACCTTTCTTCTTTTGAAAAAGACTCACAAAGCAATACCATCCAAAAAGGATTTGATGAATGATAATCTTACATATACGTTATTTTCTTTAATTTTGAATTATTTTCTTCTATTTTTTTTTAACCATCGTTTTAAAACTATCTGCATCTGGTTTTGTGGGCTGATACTCTAAGAAATTGGATATCTCATTTTAGTACCATATATTTTTATTGTTAACTTGTTATGACCAGCTTTAAAGGACTAGAGAGGAATTGGATACTTTTAGGCATTAGTTGTGGTTTTAAACTGCTTTCTTAAAATAAAAAATCAAGAGGTGATCTGCTCTTAGATATTAACTGTAACACAAAACCCCAAATGATACTGTTGACAAGGTTTATTTTCCTGTCTCCCTCTTTTTGGCCTGATTATTTGTTTCTGATTTCTTTCATCTCCTTTCTACTTTTCACATGCATTTTTTCCTTTGATATTTTCCTGCCTTACTTCCCCCAAATAATTTCCCTTTGCTTCTGCAGTTTTTGATCTCTCCCTCGTGAACACGAATGTGTTGGCCCAATAAAAACTTTCATTCTCTCCCCACATTGATCCCATCTACTATTCTCATGTTGCATTGACTCTGAATTATCTCCATTTTCTATACAAGATTTTATCCTGTAAATTATATTGTATAAATTATTTTAATCCAAATTGTTGGGTTTTTTTGCTGGTCATACCTGCCCAGACTACCACTTGTCTGACATTTCCCCATACTCCACTACACTCTCAGTCTCGTCCTTCCTTCCCCTCTCCTTATTTTATAACTCTCTCCTACCAATCTTTGTTATCTGAAGTCCCTTCATTTTGTTACTCCTCTTCTTCTTTAAAAAGCATTAAATTTCAAACTAAATAGTTCTGTCTATGTGTCCATCTCATCATGTAAAGCAGCTCCTGAACCTAAGGCCAAAGTACAGGCCCCCTTTTATGCACTGAGCTAAGCCACCTTTACTTTCCTCCTTCCTCCAGACAAGACATTTACATTCAAACAGTTTCTGGTATCTGCTGTTTCCTGAACTGACCATTTCTTTTGAGAATGCTAGTCATGGGTGACCAAAACCATGCCAAAAATCATGCTGGTACTTAGAGAGACGTGATCATGGGCTTGTACTCAAATATCCACCCATCCATCCGGTCCACAAGATCAAGTAATCTTCCTCTCTATTTGATCTGTCTAGTTAATTATCTTTCCTTTGCCTTAGAGAAAATCGGTGTTAGAGACAGAGCCATGCAAACAGGAAGGAAATAACTGGGCAAGAAGCAGAAGCTCAGGTGGACTTTGCTGAAACAAGTCCCAATATTCAACTGGTCTGTAACATGAAGAGAGAGAATGCAGCACCACCTGCAGCTTGACTATTGGGTGCCTCCATCTTTGGGTGACTCCTCATCTGTTCATCTCCTCCCTGCAACACAGCCTTTCTTAAATTGAACTATGTTTAAGAACAAGTCACTGCTAAGAGATGGTACAGGAACTTTCAAAAGGAAATAGTGGTATGAGAAACAGATTGTTACAGGACTTTATATTAGTGTAAGGCCTCAGGAGACATATCAAAAATAGAATTTCAGGATGAAAAATTAAGAAAGACATGTGTGCAGCATGGAGTTATTTTAACTAACTCGGTTTCTTCAGGCAACTATATTCATGATGACATTATCTAATGAAGCAAAGCAGCAAAAAAAAGCAGAAGATATCTAATCTATTAAAAATGAATAGGGAGATTATTGTCTAATGATAGGTAATTCATGCTTTGAAAGGTTTTTGTTTATAAAGAAAAAAAAGGGGGAAAATCATAAAGGATTATTATTTGTTCAATACTTTATTTCAATATTTGAAGTACTAAGCCGCCCCACTTTCCATTACATACAACATGCTTGTCTACCAATAATGGAACATTAGGGGAACTATTGTGATATTTGTCTGCTGCTTTCCTAGACTGTCAATCTATTAACAAGTGGATATAAGCCATTCATTCAAATGATTGCACACATGAAGGTGTTTCTGGTGATCCTACCTGTTGGCGGGATGATTCCAGGAGACATTAGGCCTGGGACAGAATGTGGCATGATATGAGAATTCTCTGGGGAGGTGACACTTTGAGTCCTCTTAGGAGGCCTTCCAGGTCTAGAACTGAAACAAACAAACAAAAAAATTTTTACAATTAAGCTGTTGTCTTACACATAATTTCAAAGTTGTTTCAAGTGGTAACATGGACTGTAAATAAATTTGTTTCAAGGACGGTTGCTTTTGCAGTTAGATGTAATAGACTTCCATCACTAATTAGATTACATGCTGAATTCATTTTCCTCATTGAAGATCAGCCGCTCTTGATGCATAATTCATAGCCTGCACCTCGTTACCTGCTTCTTCATATTAATATCTATACACAGTTTGAATTGCCTCGTTTGCATATGCTAAAGTTCTGCATGCAGCCTTCAGCACGAAAATTATGCACTAACTTGTAATAATTATTACAGTCAGCCTGCTATTGATTTATGAGACTTTTAAAAACCAAATATGTGTAGTACTTGTAATGAATGATATTTTAAGGTTCTTCAGGAAATTAAAAGGCAATGGCTGCCTAAGGAAATGTTCTGCTTGTTTGATTTAATACTACAGTTAGCTGGGAGGTGGAATGAAAGAGTGATTCAGACCTATAGCACATTTTTCGATGATATGTTTTATTACTTCGCACTGCTAGCCTGATATCTAGATGATAAATGACAATACATATCTAATGTGTGAAAAGGTCTTGCAATTTCTTTATTTTTTGTCATTTAAAAGATAAGTCAAGTTATCATTTAACCCTTATTCTATTTAAAGTGAAAATCTCACTAAGACACCTTACTTCAAATATACTACTTTATGTCAGAAAGGACTCGGAATTATTTGTACAATATTGTTGAGCAAAAGCCATCACAGCAGCTTACATGTGTCCAGTATGGAAGAATAAAGGGCTTCAGGTTTAAGCACTCCTTGTCTGTTAAATGCTCACATACACAACTTTCCATCTCCTGGACTGCCCAAGTGGCATACAAATCAGAGACGGATGATGATGAAAATACTTATTGCCCACTTACATACAAATATGTATCTGCTCATACAATATATATCCAAAGGCTTGTATTCCTATGTACAGATCATAGCATGGTACCACTGCAACATTCTGTAACTGCTCATTTAGGGGACACTGTAGAATAACTTCAGAGAATAAGGTGATGTGCTGCTCTATAACTGCAGTGTTAACCTATGATCTCCCAAACATTCAAAGTTCTTAATTTCTTTCAGAACAAGAAAGAAAAGAAAGTTGGGTATGAAAGGTTTTGCTCCTTAGGCCCTCATATTAACAAAACTCTAATCAGGGATAATGGCATTTCTAGTTATACTGGGCCTGCAGAATGAGGCAGATATTAAAATACTTCTGTTTTCTGTTCATGTTAGTTTCCATTGTGTTTGGAAATACTTTCTCTTTTTTTCCTTTTTTTTTGGCAACTTCTACAACCTAACTTTAATAAACCAAAAACAATCAAAGTACAGAGCATTTTCTTGAAGTTTAATGACTCAAGGCATTGAGTCATTAACCTTAACTAATCATTAATTCCTAACTTAATGTCCTGAGCTGAGGTCATTATTAAAATTATAAGGCTGGTAATTTCTTTGATTGGTTTGGGATTTTTGATTTTCTTTAATATAAACAAAATTGTCACATGTTCAAAACAGCAAGAAAAACAGTTGTAGATAAATAACATTGTCTTAATCCAACTCACAAAACCAAATTAAGTATCTTCAGATTTTTTTTGATATTTCCTTTGTGATTTACAATAAAAATAAACATACCATGAATACACATAAAACTGAACAAAACATTATAGACCAAAATGATCTGATTTAAATGGAGTGTTTCTAATATATTCACCCACCAAAAAATGCCACTGTGTAGGAAAACTTTAATGGTTTCATTTAAGTATCTATGATGAAGTACTCAAATCACTATTGTGACTATTGAAGGGTCTGACAACTGCATAACAGAACACAAGCAGGGCAATGTGGCACAATGTACAATGTACCAATGACTCCCAGGTCTTCATAAAATGCAAGTTCACACCTGCAAAGACCCACTTTGATGTTAACTACCAAGTATAGCCATGGTGAAGCCTGAATGCTTTTGTCCTTTATTTTGAGGAATAAAACCACCCCTCTTCAGAGCCTAATGGAAGACAGTCATGGACAAAATCTCCAAACAAAGGTCAGCAGCCAATTATAGGTGAATGATACTGAAATAACCAAGGCATAACTCTTCCTTTGGTCACCTTCTACAGTCAGATTGTTTGTGCTATTGTATACAACAGGAGGGGAGGGCAGGGTCACACTCAAAGCCATAAATGAGTCCAGCAACCTAACTCCATTCCATGAATTATCCCAAAGTTTACCAAGTGAAAGCTTTCATAAAGTCCTAAACTCTCAATTCCAATCTTACTAATAATATTTCACCCCGTAGATGGTTGGGTACTGGAACAGGCTCCCCAGGAAAGTGGTCAGAGCACCAAGCCTGGCATTCAAGGAGTGTTTGGATAACACTCTCAGGTAAATTGTGTGATTTGGGGATGGTCCTGTGCAAGGCCAGGAGCTAGACTTGATCCTTACAGTGCCTTTCCAACTCATTCTGTGATTCTATTTAAATGAAATTTCTGAGAAGGAAACCTATTAAATCCTGATAGAATTTTTAAATTACACTAGTTCAAATCTACTATTAAAAGGCCCATACCTATTTAAGAAATGTGGGGTTTTTTCTTATAACAAGGAGAAAAATACTCTAAGAGAAATTAAGAATTATTTCTTCAGACCTGGAAGATCTGATTTAGAGGCATGGTAGACTATGCAATACACAATTAAGATTAATACATCTAATTGTCCTTAATAACTGATTGAGCAGCAATAATTGACTTAATTTGTTAGTTGTCATTTGTTAAGCATTTGTTTCATTAACCATACTACTAACTTGGAATACTACCATTTTGTAAGATTTGTTTTCAAAGTATAAGAATTGCAAGAATTTTGTATGAATCATTACCAAAGTTGTGGAGAAAATAGCATGAAAAATTACTTTAAAAACTAATCACTTTGACTAGAATTGAAAATTCGCATGTTGTTTTGTAGTTCATTATCATTTTTACAGCTATATGATAAACTCTTTAAAAAAAACATCAAAAGCATAGCAAATTAGTTTAACTATCACAAACAGGATGATAAAAATAGCTTAATGAATCATTTTGTTGGTATTTTTCATAAACTTGAGTATAGTAAAGACCTACTTATCTTTTAGATTAGGGCATGTTTATTTTCATTCCATGATAAGAAACCTTCAAAATGCTCATATTCCTATTTTCTATCAAAATCAGTAGATTGGTCTTCAGTATAAAAAAAAATAAACATAATTTAAATAGGTGTGAGTTGATTTATTATGTAAAAGATACACTGAAATGCCAGAGCAATGTAATTTTTCCTTCTAGTTGGTGGCACTGAGATACAAAAATCATCATTTAAAAGCTGACAATAATACCATTTTTACTCAGATTTAGATTTTGTATTTAAGCTTTTATAGACATATAAAAGACATTGTAAGATTTTGTCTTTTATAGAAATACAATTATTGGAAGAACTACACTTTTTTCTGAAAGCACAATTGACTTATGTAAATGCTAATTATCACAACAGTTAAACTACTCAAAGATGATCAATTTTGATTTTGAAGATGTCTAAAGTCTGGATTTTTTAGAGCCAAGATAAACAGTTTGAAATGCCAAAACCCCAAAAGCCAAAGCGAATACCTTGTGAATACCTCAGGTTATAGTACAAATAAGTCAAGGAGTGTTTTGGGACTCTACAAGAAGACACAGGAAGAAACAGCGCTACATCTGGAAGTCATAGCTGATCTTCCTGTCTACTGTTTCGTTCTTTGAAGAGTAAATTAGAGAAAGCAGAAATTAGACAATATCAACAAAGATTCAAGGAAGCCACAAGATTAACTGGTTTAAAAGACCTGGGGAAAAGTTTATAAGGAAGTTGAGAGTTCCTTGCTTACCCATTAGAAAAGCTATCTAAAAGATATCTTTCATCTTTCTGCTTTTAGAAATATGAATAAGTTAGACATTTTCTGCTCTAAAACTTAAATTATCACATGTGAGATAACATACATTGAGGAAGAAAATGAAAGCTTTCTACAGGACTGTGTATGACTAAATTAGTAACCAAGTTTTTGAAGTGAAGCACCTAAAAGTATTTATTCCCATGAAAATCCATCAGCCTTCTATAAGCTTCTGTTAGTTTGCGATAAAATTATCAGAATTTTCTCAAGTCTTAAAAGACATTCCCACAGAAAACTGATCTTTATTTTTGTAGAAATTATCATGGTTTACAGTTACAAGATGCCATTATGTGAATGAGGAACTCAATGTGCAGATTAATGAATCTTGAAAGTCTCAAATATACTCTTCACTAAGATCAGCTAGTTAGATAACCAGAACACTTTCCAGAATGACTGAAAATAAATCCATCATTTTTTGGCCAGATTTGTATTCCATCCCTTCAATTTCATAAATACATCAAGAAATACTATGGCTGTAGCATTTTCATCTTTGAAGAAAAAGGGTGTATTGGTCTACTGCACTGTGATTAGCATAAGAAGCAATTGAGACTACATTTAAGGCTGAGAATACAGTTATTTTTTGATCTTTTGATCAACATATATTAGTCTTATATCCTTCCTGTCTTATCAAATCTAGAAAACAACAGATGGCTGAATTAAAGAATAAGAAATTGAAGGATCTGTGTTCCTTATCAGTTTAAATGTTATGCTTTGATAATATTTTTTAAGTTTTACATAATTTCAGTTGTATTATCAAGTATGAGCTGGCTCCTAGAAATGTTTTGATAGTGCTAACTATCAAAATTAATAAACTAAATTAAAAGCAGACATAATCAACAGAAAACCTGGCCCTGTACAATCACATGGGAAGAGACAACAGGACAACAGTATGAGTTAATCTACTTGGCTTTAAATGTAACCAGGCCGCATTCAGCTTTTATTACTATTTGCCAGAAGACAGACTTGATGTTAAAATTTAAGGGTCTCACTTGAAAGCCTTAGGTAA